ACATCGTGAGGTCTGTCTCTTCTTTTATAGCTACGTCTGGAGCTCGTATTTTTAGGATAGTTTGCAATCTATTATATGATATATATAATATTATGCACACGCACGCACGCACACACACACACACACATTAAAAATTCCTTTTCACCCTTATGGAGGGTATGTATCTTCCTCGATTGAAATATATTTTCATACACACACACACACACACACACACACGCTTGCGGGACGTATTTTTTTTAAAAAAACCGAACACCAGCTGGTCCAAACTAACAGAAAAGGCGTCCCGGAGCCAAGAAGGACCGTTTTCCTTCCCGGTCCAGGGCGCTGCAGGTGAGATCGCCCGAAGGAGTCCAAGTTTTTTTTTTTTTTTTGCTGAATGCATAAGCGACTCGCCCTCCCGGGCTTGAGAGCCGCTGGGAGCCTCCGGCTCTCTTTTGACAGCCCCTCATTGAGGGGTGTGTGGAGGAAACGCAAGAGATTTTGAAAGGTTCGCAGCAACAGCAGAAGCAGATGCTTATCGCCCTTGATAGCAGGCGGAAATTAAAAAGGGGAGGAGCTAGTGGGGCGGAGGGTGGGGTGGGTGGGGGGGGGGTGATGAAGGAATGCCTCCCCTCCGGTATAAAACCCAGGTTAGCACTTGCGAGGGATCCACGCGGGGTCTTGGCAACCCATCCGACGGAGAAGCCATGCGGGGTCTTCCTGGCTTGGTTTTCCTCCTGGGCTGCTCCGCCTTTGCAGCCGCAGCCTCGGAAGGTGAGTCTTCCTGCGGGTTTGTGTCGCCCCCCCCCAACCCCCCAAGATGCTGCGTTCCTTTCTTTTTGCAAAGAATATTCCCCCCCCCCAACCCCCCTTTTGCAATTCTGCTTTTCGGAAGGGCCCTGAAAGTCGGCGGAAAGCTTTGGTGACTAAGCCCGCGGCGTGGCTCACTCGGGACGTGGGGAAGGAGCCGTGTTTATTTTCAAGGGGGTTACACAGATCGGGACTGCGCTGGTTTGGGGATGCCGTGGGTTTCTCTCCGGCGTGCGGTTTGCGTCCCGGGGGACGTCTGCCTCGGTGGGATCCTCGACTCGGCGTTGCCAAGAAGTCCTGCGAGCTTTTCCAGTATGAGTCCTGTCCAGCTACCGCTGTAATAAATCCGTCACCTCGGTTCTCCGCAGTAGCTGTAACCGTGCAGTGCTGGGACAATGCGCCTTGCAGCAGATTCTCCCTGGAAAGAAAGAAAGAGAGAGAGAGAGAGAGAGAAGGAGAGAAAAAAGAGAGAGAAAAGAGAGAAAGGGAAAGAGAAAGGAGAGAGAGACAGAGAGAGACAGAGAGAGAAAGAGAGAAAGAGAAAGAGAGAAACAGAGAGAGAAAAGAGAGAGAGAAAAGAGAAAGAGAGAGAGAGAAAGAGAAAGGAGAGAGAGAGAGAAAGAGAGAAAGAGAGAGAAAAGAGAAAGAGAGAGAGAGAGAGAGAGAGAGAAAGAGAGAAAGAGAGAGAAAGAGAAAGAAAAGAGAGAGAAAAAAGAGAGAGTGAAAGAGAGAAAGAGAGAGAAGGTGAAAGAGAGAGAGGAATGAGAGAGATGAGTGAGGGAGAGGGAGAAAGAAAGAAGGTAAAGGGAGAGACTAAGATTTTGCTAAAAGTTTCCCTTGATATTTCTTTCCAAGTACTTCCCCAAAAATTTCTGGATTTTTTTTTTAAAATAATCAATCTATGAATCAGAATAGAACTGAAAGGGACCATGGAGGTCTTCTAGTCCAACCCCCTGCTGAAGCAGGAGTTCCTATACCTTTTCAGACAAGTGGCTGTCCGGTCTCTTCTTGGAAGCCTCCAGTGATGGAGCATTGACAATTTCTGGAGGCAAGCTGTTAATTGTCCTCACTGTTTGGAAATTTCTCCTTAATTCCAGGTTGCTTCTCTCCTTGATTAGTTTCCACCCATTGTATCTTGTCCTGCCTTCGGGTGCTTTGGAAAATAAGTTGTCCCCCTCTTCTTTGGGGCAGCCCCTCAGATACTGGAATTCCGCTAATCATGTCACCCTTAGTGGCACGATAGCACTATTGATATACTGATTGATATGAACATCAATTAAAAACCTAAACAATGGTTTTAGCAAGAAATATGGGGTGAGACACGCTTCTTTTTTTCACATGCAAAAAAGTGCCAAGTCCAGGGACAAGCTGGAAAACATCCCAAAAAGCAAATGTCCATGGAGATTCTCAGTCCTTCAGGTCATGGATGTCCCGAAGGTGCTTTTTTTTTTTTTTTCAAAAGGCAACTGGACTTTCTGGTTTTTACTTTTGAAGACGTTTCGCTTCTCATCTGAGAAGCTTCCTCAGCTCTGACTGGATGGTGGGGAATGGAAGGATTTCTATTCCTTGCAGAGGGCTGGTTGCTATTGCAAGGAATATAAATCCTCCCATTCCCCACCATCCAGTCAGAGCTGAAGAAGCTTATTGGAGGAGAAGCGAAACGTCTTCAAAGAAAAACAAGAAAGTCCAGTTGCCCCTTGACAAAAAAAACACCTTTGGGACATCCCAAAAAATCAGGTTAATGGGAGGACGTGAGAGAGGAAACTCTTCTCTAGAATAGATACAGATGAGCTAGATGGGGAAAAAATAATTTCATCTGACCAAAAACCCAACAACATTTTTGGGGGGGTTGCTCAGAATTAAATCAGAGCTGGGTTTTTTTTCCTCATGTGCTCAGCAATGAATTCTGCAGTAAAAGAGTGGATATGCACTGATTGTCCGACTGTTCATTTCCTCCCCCTGAGATTTGCATGATGAAATTGGGATATGATAGATAAATCAGACCAGATTGGTGGGTTGGAGCATAGCTGGAGAGATTTGCATAAAAATCAGCAAAGTCTTTTTAATTTGCTTCCTATGCAACGCACTAAAGTTTCCCCCCAATTGGTGGCTAAAGAATAAGTGCAGGAATTGGGTATGTCTAGTTTAATGAAAAGAAGGACTCGGGGTGATGTTATAGCAACCTTCCAATATTTGAAGGGTTGCAACAGAGAAGAGAGGGTCAATCTATTCTCCAAAACATTGGTTGCCAACCAGTGGACCAGGGATCACTGATGGTCTGCAAGAAAATTTTGGGGGTCCTCAGAGAAATGTCACCCCCAATCCAGGCTGCGTGAGAACACAAGGCTGAGCCACCCACATGGCCCGTGGAAACACAAGGCTTGCGTTGCTTGCATTGTGAACAACATGAGGTAGTGAGGGAAGGGAGGAAAAGGTGGAGGGGGGGAACTTGCCCCCAGCACCCCACTGGCCACTTCTTTCTTCTGCTTTTGGCTGCACATAAGGAAAGCAGCAAAAGTCTTTCTTTCTCTCCCCCAAACTCCGCCAGAAATGAGTCTTTGGGACCCTGCAAGGCATTCTGCTCCAAGAGGCTGCGCCAGCGTGACAAGTCTCGCAAAGACTCATTTCTGGCAGAGTTTGGGGGAAGAGAAAGAAAGACTTCTGCTGCTTCTGCTGCTTTCCTTGAAGCCAAAAGTCTCCTGCCCCCTCACCCCACCCCCCCAAAGGAGCTGCAGACGGTATCCTGCGATCCCAAATAAAGAATGATTGATCGGTAGGAAAACAGGGTGGGAATTTTCCTGCAGACTTTTTGGGGGGATTTTCCCACGGCCTCTGCGCCTTGAGATTTAAAATTATGACTTTGATGGTCCCTGAGGTCCAAAAGGTTGGCGACCCCTGGTTTAAAACACCTGAAGGCAGGAAGCAATGGATAGAACCTAACCAAGGAGACAGCAAACCTAGAATTAAGGAGAAATTTCCTGACAGTGAGACCAATTTATCAGTGGAACGACTCGCCTCCAGAAATTGTGGGGGCTCCAACACTGGAAGTTTTTAAGATTGGACAATCTTTTGTCTTTAGTGGTAAAGTGGGCTGGACTAGAAGACCTCCAAAGTCCTTTCATTTATGAATAAAATAGCCAACTTTTCGTCCCACCCTCCCAGGGACTCTGAGTGAAATTTGGACTGAGCTGCCAGAAAATGTTCCCAAGTAACTGGCCAAATTTGAGATGAATTTATCCAGTTTAACATCAGTTCCAACTGTATTGATTCAGAAATATATTTTATAGTGTTCAAATTCCCCTCATTTGTGACTGTTTTGTGACTGCAAGTTATTTCATAAGACTTCCATAGACTGTCCGTTATCCAGGGTGCCTCGTCTTAACTTAACCTGGCCACTTTTATCCATGTTTACTCACAAGGAAGTTTCATGGTGTGAAATGTACTGGTGTGATTATGTTTGAAGATTGCAGCCTAAATTCCTGAGAAGTGTGTTTCGATTTTTTAAACAAAAAAAAAAGCTTATCTTGATATGCCAGTATTGTTTAGATAGTTAGAAGAAAGGCTTGGCTTGTATTCCTTGGATTGAGAAAAGTAATTCTTGAATAAATAATTAATCTTGTCAATAGTAACTTGGCAAAAACACAAAAGTATATTATAAGTATCTGCAAATATGTTTAAATTAGAAAGGAGGATGCAAAAATCTGGGCACAGAACTGGAGGAAGTTGAGAGTAAAAAGAGGAGAATTGAGTTAACTTCTGCCTTAATATGAATAGAAATGTTTCTTTCTTAGGGTTTAATACAATATATCATATAGCAATATCATGTCATCTTATATTATTTTGGGCCTCCTACTCAAGCAGGGGGTTGGACTAGATGACCCCCAAGACCCCTTCCAACTCTGTTATTCTATGATTCTATGTAAAGGTAGCCAATCGATATAGTATCACTTTATCTATTTGCCTAATTTATTTGCATTCTTGTTTGCTTTTTATTTTATTTTGTTCAAAGTAGCTCAAGAAAGTCCAGGAAATTAACAACAAAAACATTTCCAATTCAGCATAAAAATGCAAAAGGACAATATCGCAATTAGGACTTGAACTATGCACAATGCAGTAAAAGTCCTAGAACTGTATAAAACATTTGACATTGCCCCTAAGACAGTTTAAACTTAGCAAACCAAAATTAAGGAATGATAAGATGTCATATCATACGCCGTTGCCTCTGAGTCCCTTGTTGATATTTGTCAGGTAAACAGCAATTTGTCAATAATGTTAAGTTTAATGGTGAGGACTAGTTTCCAGTGAATGTGAAAGATTCATTTCTGGAGTCCTACCAGGCTTTTCAAACTAACAGAAGAGAGAGAGAAAAAACCACACCTTATCAACTTTTCCTCCTGGCTTATAAACTTTCTAAGGGCTGTAAAAACATTGTAAATGAACCTTGTCATTCAGATTCAGAGATCTAAACAAACATTAACTAGTGAAGATAAAAACGGAAAGATTATTAAAAGCCAATTAACAACTTAAGGACAGGTTCATAAACATGGAGATCAGAAAGTTTCCGTTTTGGAGAAAGACAAGACAACATTCAAATTAAAAATATTTTAAATAATGGCAAAAAGCAAGCAACGTTAAATAAAAATAGCATAGACCAAAGCTATCCTTAGTGTAGGATTTTGTTTTCATGGATACTCCTGACAGGCTTAAAGCAGTATTTCTTATTAAGATATTGTGTTTAGCTCCCAGAATTCCCCAGCCAGTAAGTGCACACATATTAGAATAGAATAGAATAGAATAGAATAGAATAGAATAACAGAGTTGGAAGGAACCTTGGAGGTCTTCTAGTCCAACCCCCTGCCTAGGCAGGAAACCCTACATCACTTCAGACAAATGGTTATCCATTATCTGGAGGCAAATTGTTCCATTGATTAATTGTTCTGTCAGGAAATTTCTCCTTAGTTCTG